TGGATTCAAACCCGCCACCTTAGGTGTATGTGGCTGGCGCCTTAGCCACTTGAGCCATAGGCACCGAGCCCACAGCTATGATTTAATAAATAAAAAAAAAAGTCCAGGGGCAGTACCTGTGACTCAAGGAGTAGGTACTCCTATGGTAGCTGGCCCCATATACCAGGGGTGGTGGGTTCAAGCCTGGCCCCAGCCAAAACTGTGAAAAAAAAAAGTCCAAAAGCATGATGGCAGCTTCTGGTAGTGGCTTTTCATACTGCATCATAATGTGGTAGAAAAGCACAAGGGCAAGAAAGCACTTGCAAAAGAAGACCACAAGAGTGAGCCAAGCTCACTTTTGTAATAACCCACTCGTTAGAACTAACTCACTCTCACTAATCAATTCATGAGGCCTCCACTCTTGACCCAGGCACCTCTTGAAGTCCTCACCTCTTAATACTGTTACATTGGCAGTTGAGTTTACACACATGGACTTTTGGAGGACGGACACGGTTAAACCATAGCATGGGTTTTGAGCTCAAAACTGAATTTTGCGCGTCTTGAGAGTGATGCTGTATATGGAAAACAGAAGGTGATACCTAAGTTCATAATAATAGCAGCCCAGAATGTGCTCCAGTCTCACATTCTTCTGTTTCATAATATACTACCAGAGGAGGGACCCTTGGTAAGAGCTGATATTATGGTACTGCTTATGGAGGATTTTAAGTAGATCACTTACTAATCTTAGAAGTCTCCATCTCCACCAGTTTACTCTAACTTTGTTTTGACCAGTGCTCTACTTTAGTTATAGGTTATCAAAACTGTGTCTTTTATTTCAGAAATTTCCTTCTTTTTTGATCCTGAGAAGCTGTTGCATGTTATCAGGTTTATTGAGGTTTGGGGGCTTTTGTTGTTTTTAGTGTAGCCTTTTCTTTTTTTTTAGACAGTCACTTTGTGGCCCTTGGTAGAGTACTGTGGCGTCACAGCTCACAGCGACCTCAAACTCTTGGGCTTAAGCGATTCTCTTGCCTCAGGCTCCCAAGTAGCTGGGACTACAGGTGCCCACCACAACACTCAGCTATTTTTTGTTGTTGTTGCAGTTGTCATTATTGTTTAGCTGGCCTGGGCTGGGTTCAAACACGCCAGCCTCAGTGCATGTGGCTGATGCTGTAACCACTGTGCTACAGGGGCTGAGCCATAGTGTAGCCTTTTATAGCCCCAAGATCATCTGAGTGTAGGAAATTAGATACTCTACATACATGTTAAGTCTTGTGCATGTTTGGGCTTGGTTTCTTTCTTTCCTTTTTTTTGTTTTTTGAGACAGAGTCTCACTGTGTTGCCCTCAGTAGAGTGCTGTGGCATCACAGCTCACAGCAACCTCAAACCTCAAATACTTGGGCTTAAGTGATTCTCTTGCCTCAGCCTCCCAAGTAGCTGGGACTGTAGGCGCCCACCACAATGCCTAGCTATTTTGGTGTTGTAGTTGTCATTGTTTAGCAGGCCCAGGCCAGATTCCAACCCACTACCTCTGGTGTATGTGGCCGGCTCCCTACCCACTGAGCTATGGGCACCACCTGGGCTTTTTTTAAAAAAATACTTATTTATTCTTCCTGTCTAACTGCAACATTATACCCTTTGACCAATATCTCCTCATTTCCCCCACTTCTCGGTCTCTGGCAACCACAATTCTGCTATCAATTTTTTTTTTTTTAATTGTTAGGGATTCATTGAAGGTACAAGAAACCAAGTTACACCGATTGAATTTGTTAGGTAAAGTCCCTCTTATAATTGTGTCTTGCCCCCAAAAGGCGTCTCACACACCAAGATCCTACCTGCCTCTCTCTGGTCTTCCTTTTCCCTACCTCTCCCTCCTTCTTTCTCTCTCTGCTCTTCCCTTCCCCCACACCCACAGTGTCAT